CGGCGCCGCAGCCTCCGCGCTAGGCCTTCTTGCACTTGCCCTTCTTCTCGCGCTGCTGGAACTTGCGCAGCCGCCGCGCCCACGTGTCCCGCCACTGGATCACCAGGCTGCTCTTGTCCGCCACGATGCCGCTCTGGTCGGGAGAGTCCTCGGCGTTGCCCAGCAGCAAGTACTTCTTGAGGGGCTTGATTTTGGGACACTTGCAGGCGATGTCCCTGGAGCGGATCCACAGGCTTTGGTCCCCGCGGCGGATGCGGCTCGTGCCCTGCTTGTACACGGAGATGATGTTCACCGTGAACTTCCACCAGTCCCCGGCCTTGTCCGCCTTCAGGATGTGGATCTGGACAGCTGCAAGAAAGCACAGGCAGGAGGGTGGGCCTCGGCCGGAGAGCACAGCATGGGTCCCCAGCGCCTGCGACCAGCTCCTCCCGTTCCAAGAGCCTGGAGAAGGAAAATGAGGCGCCACGGAAGTGACTGCAGAGGGTACCCATTGGGGCATGGGTGGAGGGTGGCAGAGCTGATCCTGGAACCCCACCTGCTAATACTGGGCCAGGCCCACTGCTCCAAGAAGCCTTACCTCCTGCCTGTTCTGAAGGTGACACCCAACAATGCCTTTGGGGACAAGACCCGTCTTGGCTGTTGCCAAGGCCCATGACTGTCCAGGAAGGCCAGAGGTAGCCTGCAGGTGCTGGCCACGTCCCCGGCAAGGTGGGCCTAGCAGGTGCCTGTGGTGAGAGCAGTGTTGGAGGACAGGGTGCTTTGCTCAGGCACCTGCATCTCCAAAGGCCGAAGTCACCCAACACCAGGCCTCAAGATACTCCAGATACAAAGCCTTGCCCGGTCTCAAAACCATAATGGGGCTTTGGTGCCCAAGGGCAGAAGATAAGAACCTGCCCTTCGGGGTGGCCACAGTACCTTTTCCAGAGCCCTGTCCTTGTACAGTACACCTGCCAATTGTCCTAAACAGTCCCCACCAGGTGGCCTCCCTTCCTCTACACCCCTCAAGTTCCCAGGCCATTCCTCTTCCTCCCAATTCTCTGCCAGTATTTCCCCTAGCATGGGGGTGCCCAGACGAGTGCACATAAGAAATCCCTGGGGGCTTCTGAAAACACACTGCTGGGCCTACCCCAGTTTCTGAGTCAACCAATCAGGGCAGGGCTTCAGCGTACTCATTCCTCACAGATCCCAAGGTGGTGCTGCTGCAGCTGACCCAGAGGACATACCTTGAGAATCGGTGCCCTAGTAAATGTTGACAGACAGTAAGAGGGATTTTTAAAATAGGTAATGCTAAAAAAAAGAAATTTTGCTCCTATAAGTTTGTCTTAATACAGGACTAGGTTAGAGTCAAGAATTTTCTTTACTGCAGGACTTTACAGAGCCTTTATTCTATGAATCGCATGCATGTATGTTGGTTTCACAAACAACCCTGACTACAGAACCCTTTGGTTGGTGTGTCTCGGGTCACCAGAGCTCCATGGTGCCTCCTTGGGGACCTGCTGGAGTGGAGGGGGACACATGATCATTCCTCCTCCTAGTCCAAGGGGTACCTGGAAAAACCTCTTCTACACAAACTGGCCACACCCTGTACTCTTTTTTTTAATATCAATATTTTTTATTTTGATATTGTGGGGTACAGTTAAGGGTTCACCCTGTACTCTTTACCCCACTGAGCAGAGCAGCTTTGTACCCTGGACTGGGCCACGGAGTAGACTAAGAGCCCTCCTGAAAAAGGAGCAACAGCTTGAAGAAACCGACACCCAGGCAGGCTCCTTGGCTCTGGCAGCCAAAGAACACGTCCCCAGGGAATGCCCAGCAGTCAGCACCTCCCCACTTACCATCCGGGCAATGGACCCAACCCCAGCTCAGCCTGCCCTCCTATGCTGGCCAGCTTCTCTCAGGGTCTCTGGGGGCCACTCTGCTTCTTCCCTCCCGAGGGACCCCCCTCCTTCCACACTCACACTTGGCCCAGGGGGATGGGCAAGGGCAGTGATGACTGGGCCCAGGGGAGCATGGGATGCCATCCGCCTCATCCTTCTGGAGTGAGGGAAGTGGCAGATTTTCCCCTATTTTCATTTCAGCTGTTCCTGGGCATCCTGAACTTTGCACTCCAGTCTGAGGGCGCCAATGAATGGCTACCATGGCAACCGTTTCCATGTTTTTGTCACCAAGGGACTCAACACTCAGTATGAACTCTGAGGGTGGGGGAGCCCTCCAGCCCGAGAAGTGGCTGGGCTGAGTGTATTTGACTGTGCAGACAGAGGTCACCGTGGCAACTGAGTGCCCCTTAGCTAAGCAATGGGGGAACCACCCCCAGTATCCCTGAGAGCCCCAGTTTCCTCTCCCCAGGACTGAGCTGAATACAGAATGAGCTTCCCCCAGGCTAAAGCTGTTTCCCTGCAAGCAGCTTGAACCCCTGGCCCAGCCAGTGTCCTTCCAACTGCCATGAGCTGGGGTGGCCTAACAAGGATACTGTGCAAGGCACCTCTGAAGGTGTGGCTTTGATCTCAGACCCTGCGTTTCTGTGGGTGCCATGGGCTGAACTGCAGTCCCACAAAATTTGTAGGGTTGAAGGCCTGACCCCTGTACTGCAGTGTGATTGTATCTGGAGGTTGAGGCTTTACAGAGGTAATTAAGATGAGATCATCAGGGTGCTTTAACCTAATAGGACTGATACCCTTACAAGCAGAGGAGGTCAGGATACAGACACAGAGAGGGAAGACCACGTGAGGACACAGCAAGAAGGTGGCCATCTACATGCTAGGAGAGAGGACTCGGGAGGAACCGATCCTCGCCCACACCATGATCTCAGACTTCCAACTTCCGGAATCATGAGAAATGTTCCTGCTGCTGAAGCCACCCAGACTACGGTACTTCGTTCTGGCAGCCCTAGAAGCTAATACAATTAATCATGAAGATGCTGGGGATCTTGGGCCTCTGTTCAGGGCCAGGCAGAAGGGCAGATCTGGCAGGGTCTCAACTTTGTGAGAGGAGACGAGCGAGAGAGAGAGAGAGCTGGACAAGGTGTAGCCTTGGGCAGATGCTCAGGGGAACTTACTTCCTGGGGGTCCTGCAAGAATGCGGCCCTTCACAGCAGAAGGGCTAGCGACCCCTGCCCCACCCTCCCTGGTGTTTGAGCTTCCCCCTCCCCTCAATGAGTGTCCTGGAAAACCAAGCAGGGCATCCAAAGTAGCACTGCCCCCCTCACCCGCACCATATTTCCCCAGACACAGGTCTGAAGGGGACCTGCTTAAATACTTAACACCGAGGACGAAGCCCTGAAGGGTACCCTGCCCTGGACACCTTGAATCCAGAATCCAGAGGGACAAAGCAATGAACACTGGTCAGCTGAGACATAGCAGCTGGTCCTTGACCCCGTTCCGTTCCCTAACAGATCCAGGATGGGAGCTGCCCTGATCACAGGGAGGGACGGCCCAGGCCCAGACCCAGACCCAGGGGCAAGGGAGGGTGGCGGTAGGATTCATATGATTATGCTGGAAAAGGGCCACATTTCCGCTGCCCTTGGCAAGGCCTCTACACATTACACAGCCCACCAAGTATGAGCTGCACACGCAGTACACGGGCCAAGTCCCTGCCGTGCACATCCAGCTGAAAATATTCAAAATACACATTGCAACAGTGACCTCAGACAGACCTGCCCTGTGCCCTCAGGGAACACACTTGTCGGCAGCCACATGGCACACCGCTGGGCTGCTGTCACCTCTGACCGGCTGCTGGCTTGTAGTAAGGAATGACTGGGGTCTCTGGGCTACATGGAGCCTAGCCCCACTCCCCTCAACCCACATGTGCCTGTAATGTTGCCCAACCAGGGGGTTGGACACATGAATGTGGACAACTCTTCCCTTCTAGGACCATGGCCCCAAGGATAGGACCCTCACATCCCACTATGGTGTCGGTTTGGGGTCCCCCAACTCATGTTGGAACCTAGTACCCAGTGTAAGAGTACTAAGAGGTCAGGCCTTTGGGAAGTGATGAAGTCATGAGGAATCCACCTCGTGAGTAGGATTAATGCCCTTACAGAAGAGGCTGGAGCTAGCCCCTTGCCCCTTCTGCCTCCTGAGGACACAGCAAGAAGGTGCCATCTTGGAAGCAGAGAGCAAGCCCTCACCAGACACCATACCTGCTGGCAGCTTGATCTCCCACATCCAGTCTCTAGAACTGTGAGCAATACATTTCTACTGTGTATAAATCACACAGTCTAAGGTATTTTGTTGTAGCAGCCCAGAACTGACTAAGACACACTCACACAATGAAACTCACCTCAGGCCAGTTGGCCTCAGCCCTTACGACGCCTAAACCCTCACTGTCCTTGCCCCGATGTTTCATAAGTTGTTCTCAACACCAGCCGGAGCATGGGGCTCTGACGAGGCTTCCCCACCCTGTGTTTCAAAATGATGAAGATGGAACTACCCCCTCAGAAAAGGCAGATTGTGACAGCAGACCAGGTGCACTGAGACCCTTTAAACTGGGGACTGCTGGTTTACAGGTACAGGACAGGGTTGCCGACTTAAGCCTGAATAGTCATTCTCCAAAGCAGAGACAAGGGAGTCCATGAGGCAGACACTGGCAGGGCCCCAGCCCTGCATGGGGAGGGCAGGCTGGCCCCCAGCCTGCTGGTGCTCCTGACCCCACTCTGGGATGGAGCTCCACACCACAAACCCATCCTCCCTTCCTCTGAGCCCTGCTCCTCCCACGAAATGAGGGCTTGGGCTGGGTGATTACTGCCAGTGAGCCAGCCAGTACACTTGTCCCCTGGGACCAGGATGTGGGAACTGGCACCCTCCAGACTGGCTGTGAGCCCCAATGAACCCTAGTCACAACATGGGAAGGAAGCGGGTCTGCAGATGGAGCAGACGCCCAAAGAAAAGCAGGAGGAGAGAGTGCAGGCTCCAGGGAGGTAGGAGTTGGCGTCCAAGCTCCAGGGCCCAGGCGCCCAGCTAGCCTTGGTCTCCTGGTCTTGCAGTCCAAGAGTCCTTTCCTGCAGTTGGCCACAGAGCCCCTTTAACAAGGCTACAGGCTGGGGGGAGGGTCAGCAGCTACCCCTCCTCAGCAATTCTGGGGTTCACAGGAAGGTCTTTTATGTCAAGAACTGTCTTGGCCACCAAGGCAAGGCAAGCAACAAGGACTGACTTCCCTTTCCCTAACCCAAGCCTGGTGTCTTGCCTGGCAGGGGCATGCATCTTCCTCTGCCCCTCAGCGAACGCCCACATCAGGTCCTGAAGGGCTGGCTGTGGCTGCATGGGGGTGGGAAGGAAGCTGGAGACTGGGTCCAGGAGGACAGTCTGCCAGGGCAGCCAATGCCACTGCAGGGCTGTTTCTGGCTGAGGAGG